CCACCGCTGCAAACATTTCATGTACGCACATGCAAATTCAAGTGAGCCGTGCCCAAGCTAAAGAAGCAAAACGCACGATCTTTGACAAATTCATACAAAACAAACGTCCAAAAAGGGAAGAACCTACGATAGTGAATGCTCAAAATTCTTGCCGAAATATTTTTTAGCAAAATTTATAATAACAACCATTTAGTTTTCAGCCAAACAGCCAGTAATTGCATTTTATGGAAAAAAGTACCTTTTCTATTTTAGCATTTATCGCACATTTTATTCATTGGTATATGGCCATGTAAATACATTTTCTTCAACGACGACCTTTTACCATAAAAAACATGCAATTGCACGTTTACCGCTGTCTCCTGCAAATATTAGTCTAGAAAGCTAAAAGCCATTTGGTATTCTAATTCATTTCTCAAGTGAATGACTTGCACAACAGTCACCTTCATGCAGCCCTGCAAACATGAGTTTGCGCAAAAACGACCCAAGTGTTGGTGGACTTGGAATGTGATAGAAGTACTGGTAGGGTGAAGGCAACGAATTCACCAGTGCTGATATGCATAATGCGAGTAGGAAAATGGTGTCAGTCTAGGCTAATACACGAATCATCGACCTCAAAGAAGCAGAATTTAGCACAAATTATTTTTACAACTGGCTGTGACCATCTATTTTTTAGCTTACAAGGGAAGTTTTATTGTTTTTTCTAGGCCAGGTGAATGGGAGACTAAAATTAAATCTACTAATGGACAATTCTGAAATGTAGGCGGATTTGTAGAGGTAGAGTTGGATTCAACCAATTGTAAATAAGCCGCATAATTCTATTGAAAACGTTGAGGTGAAAGAGTGGAGGAAAAGATTCAAAAAGACTTTGTCAGTGGAATTTCATTCAATCATTTTCAAAAAAGGCTGTTCTGAATAGTGATGTCTTTACGCATTCATTCGTATGACGATTGGAGTGCGTCGCGGGTTAACCTAGTGGAAATCTTCATAGAGGAAACGCTGACAGCTCCGTCACAAGATTTTTCAGATGAATAACGAGTGTTGTCAGCATTCCTGAAAACAGGGAATACAAATAGTTGCCGAGTGTCATTTACAAACATTCTGTTAAGGGTCGACACGGATTCTCGCATCCACAGCACATTCCCACGCACAGAAGGGATGGGCCACCGGCATGTCCAGCAGTCCATGCTGCCCATCAGAAATATAACAACGAAGTCTCAAGTGCCCACCTAACCTAGGAGGCGATATACAACGCCAATCAATGCACGTAGGGTCCTTCATTCAGTCTCACACGTCTTATGTTTACCGTAATAATCACCTTTCTTCAGCAAATGATGGAAGCGGTAAGGTATTTAGATGAGAGTACAGGCTTATCTCTGAGCCAAAAATTATGCGTCTTGTGTGAACAAAGCAAACTAATTGATCTACGAATCACTGTGAGTTGATGAAAGATTGGAGGAAGGGCCAAGCTTCTGCTCCATCGCGTTCCCGTCTGACTTCATTAGATAACATGCCAAAGTAGCCCCTGAGTATCCTAACAGAAATAAGAGAGAAGCTATCTAGTAAAAGCACATTAGTTAGAGTCAAGTCGTAGCTATAATTCCCAAATACACCTATCCACCAGCCTACATTCAAT